AACTGAATACAGTTTAGAATCCCCCTTCTTTTGTCAGAAATATTTTCATGGTAGTGTAGGACACCACTACTGTTTTTCAACAGGGCATTCCAACAAATACCAGCATTTACTGTCATCAGTACGTCTAGCAGTTCCACAGCATTCCCTTTTGGGAAGCTGGCAAAACAACTGAATACAGTTTAGAATCCCCCTTCTTTTGTCAGAAATATTTTCATGGTAGTGTAGGACACCACTACTGTTTTTCAACAGGGCATTCCAACAGATACCAGCATTTACTATCATCAGAATGTCTAGCAGTTCCACAGCATTCCCATTTGGGAAGCTGACAGAAGCATAACCGCAGAGGTGCTATGGAAGAAATGGCTGAACTAATTTTCTAAGGTACCAGACCTGAAGTTATCATGTACTTTAGTACAAAAGAATGAAGGCTGATATTGATTCTAGATTAAACTCTTTACATTAATATGACTTACTTGTTTTATCAATCAGGCTTTGTGCTTGCTCTTCCATCCATTTTTGATAGTAGTCTTTTACATTTTCTTTGTGTTTCCTGCCGCTACAATGGGTTTTTCTCACAGATGGCTGCAAGACAAAGAACCATTGTTCTCCATGCACAAACCATACCTAGAAGGCCAACTTCATCTCAAGAGCATATAAAATCTGAAAAATGCCACTGAATTGAATGAAGAATGCACTTTTGTATTCACAGAAGGCAAGTACACTTCATGCTTGCCCAGTTCTCTTCCCCACACCATACTTATGTCTTTTTCAGAGTACAGTAAGAGACCACCAAAATCTTGAGAGGTTATCTCACATGATCTCAGCATCCATTTTGGATCGCCTAGGCAAGAGGTGTAGTCTGCTTACCTAGGCAATCCAAAATGGCTGCGAAGATCCCATTAGGTAGCCTTGCAAGAGCTCAGCCCGAACTATTTATTTCCTTCATTTATTCCCCACCTTTGTCCCCAAAGTAGCTTACATTTTTCTTCTCTCCTCCATTTTATTCTCACTACAACCCTGTGAGGTAGGTTATGCTGAGTGTATGCAACTGTCCCAATGTCACCCAGCAAGCTTCCATGGCAGAGTGGGGATTTGAAACTCCCAGATCCTAGTGCAACACTCAAACCACTATACCACACTACCTTGTCTTTATGTTTATTCCTCCCCAATTTTGTTAAGTTTAAGTTTTTTCTGAAAATCTAGAGAAATCTTCAGACTTGCAGGAATATCTCTGTACTTTGCTCCATTGGGAAGATTTTGTGAACTGCAATGTACAGTTAGTTCCCAATTTTTTATCATAATCTCCAATTAATGAGCTTCATGATCAGTGATAAATTCGGAATCCTGAGAGTTTTTACAAGTTTCTTTACAAAATGGGTTGGATCCTACTATCATTTCTGTTAGCAAAAGAGGGGAAAGGTGCCCCTTTTGACCACCAAAAAGGCTATGCTGGGGATTCTGGGACCACGGCTGGTTCAAGGTACTTTGCCACCAAGCAAATTACAGTTTTGTCACAGGACAACTCAGACTCACAGAAAATAATTTGTAATTTCCTGGAACCATGATTTTTGTTTTGATTTATTTTATCATTAAATAAAACACTTATTAGTTAATTACACTGGATCACAGCTTCATAGGAGAATGCATTGCAGTGGATGTTACAATTGCTGACTTCTGTATGAACAAAAAGTTGTTCTGTAACATCACAAAGTCTAACAGATTTACTAGATAATTGCTAAATGAGGATTCAACAGTAGAGATAATTGATTTAGCCAGAAGTTTATCACACACCATTATGGCTGTTGTGAATGGTCACTGTGGTTGTCTTGTACTTTGAAATTTACATAGAAACATCACACCTTTTGCATTTCATAGGATTTTAACACCAATATCCTACTAGGTCAAGCAAAACATGTCACATTACTATACAGAACACAATGAAAATAAAAGCCAGTCAAAAAGAGTAAAAGATCCAATGAGAGAGAGTGTGATCCCTTCCAAACAATAATGAATCACAATAAATTACATTATAGAACAGTAGTTTGGTGCTGAGGTATAAGAATCTGTTACCACAGCATTCATATTAAGTTTCCTAGGTGTAGGAAAGCAGTGCGGAAATCTCCTGGCTGGAGGTTGGGAGCTGAAATACTTATACGTCATGAGAGGCCGAGATGGAATCTGTTTACTGCTAACTAAACCTGGCTCTCCCAGATTAGAGTCCGCGCACTTCACCACTACACAAAACTGGCTCTCTTACTACTCCGCATTGTACTGTGTGTACTGTGTACTGTGAACATTTGTGAACATATTATCTTAAATCAACTGCTCACTTCATCAGAAGAAATGAGCAGTGAGTCACGAAAGCTCATACCCCACCACAAATTTTGTTAGTCTTTAAGGAGCTACTGGACTCTTACTCTTTTCTATTGTTATTGTTGCTGTTACTGTTTTCTGCAGAATGCAGAGAAGTGGCTCAATAACCTTTTTCTTTTAGGGCACAATTCCTTACACATTAGTAAATAATTTCTCCAAAGTACAGCCACTTAAAGCTTTCTGTCCATAAACAGAGCATAAAACATCTTCAGAGATCTACTGATTTCACCACTGGGGTGATTTTTTTATCCCCACCAATCAAGAAGACGTCTAAAGAAACAGTGTCATTTGTCAGTTTGCCGGATAGATTCATACTAGAAAAAGTCCTCAGACCTAATACTTAAAAGGAAAGAACAGTTGTAACTCTTGTTGTGTAACTTCTGTGAAACTTGCTACTTACAGAGTCATGGGTGAGGTAAGTATCACAGTAATCACAATAAAACCTGGAAGAAGACAAATGTGGATTGTTAACTGAGTAATGATGGTTTATTCTTAGCATATGAGAGTTGTAAAAATATTAATATGCCTTTCTGTCAGATTCAAGATTTGATCCAACTGCTTTTAGAATAAGAAGAGAAATATTTCACAGGTATTTTCTTCAAAGAAACAACAACTTTCACTTGCAAGAAGGACTAACTCTTTTTGGCTTGCTCCTTCAAACATATTTTTCTCACACCATACCTATAGGCAAAGATGGGAACTGATGCTATAGCCACTCCCTGATACTAATAAGAATCCTATCTGAATAACATAAGTATAGGCTGCTGGATCAACCCAGTGGTCCATGTAGTCCAGTATACTGTTTCACACAGTGGTCAATCAGTTGCCCTGGGGGGCAGGGGTAAAACAAACAGGGCACAGAGACCAAAGCCCACCCATGCTACTGCTTCCAAGCACTGGTGTTCAAAGGTTTTCCTGCCTTTTACAAGTTGGAAAAATCAAGCCTTATAGTAGCTTTTGCAAAGACAAGAAAGCAAACCCAGTAATTACAATAATGCTATGAGAGATGTTGGTCAATACTTGAGGCAATGCACAGAATTTGCAATGGGCACATGTAGGATGGTACCCTTAAAACCTCTATACAATTTGTTTTGAGAAAAATTGACTCATTTGAAATGTGATGTTGGAGGAGAGCTTTACAAGATACTGTGAACTGCCAAAAAGACAAATAAGTGGTTCTCGATCAAATCAAGCCTTCCTTGAAACTAAAATGACTAAACTGAAGACTATTGTGCTTTGGTCACAGTATGAGAAGCCAAGAGTCACTGCAAAAACAATAATACTAGAAAAAACTGAAGGCAGCAGTAAAAGAGGAAGACCAAACATGAGACGGATTGACTCAATCAAGGAAGCCATGGATCTCAGTTTGCAAGACGCGAGCAAGGCTGTCACTTACAGGATATTTTGGAGGTGGGTTGTTTGTTTTTTTGGCCATCAAATTGCAGCCAACTTATGGCTATCCCATAGGGTTTCAAGGCAAAAGATCATTCAGAGATGGTCTGCCATTGCCTAGCTCTGCATAGAGACTCTGGTATTCCTTGGTGGTCTCCCACGCAATTTACTAACCAGGGCTGAACCTACTTAGCTTCCAAGATCTGACGAGACTGGGCTAGTGACTTGAGGATCCTTATGCATACCTACCAGTGTTCTCTCTAAGCTGAGTTAGTGTGAACTATCTCACAGTTTTTTAGCCTCCAGCTCACACATTTTTGTCTTAGCTCAGGAAGGATGGCTCCAGAGCAAACTAATTTATGCAGTAGCCAGATCGCTCACTCACAATTTTAATGCCAGTAGCTCACAAAGTAGACTTTTTGTTCACAAGACTCCACAGCTTAGAGGGAGCATTGATACCAGCAATAAGTCTACTGTTACACTTGGAAGAGAAAGCAAAGCAGCCTATAGCGCTTAACTTCTGCGGGCAATAAAAAGACGCGACTCTTGTGTTTTTGTGTGTGTGTGTTTTAGTGCCCTTTAATAAGTACGAAAAGTGTAAGAACAGAAACACCGCAAAGATAACTCAAAGAAATGGCCGAGGCGCCAACATTAGTAATTCTTCCTTTGGATTAACATACGAATATTCCCCTGCTCACCCCTAAATCAAAATTCTGAGCGGGAATCGAGCCCCCTTCATAGCAACACTACGGCTTACTTACTTGGGCATATTGGTCTGAACGATGTTGCCGCCGCCGCCGCACGCACTCCACCCGGAAATGGCGTACACCACTGTGCGACGCCTAGAAGATGGTAAAAAAGATCAGCAAGATACACAGCGTGAGCGTCTGGAAGAAAACTAAACACCTTCATAAGCTATAATGCTCTGTAGGTGTTACAGCGTAGTGTAGTACTAGCCACTTACGCGTCTATGGTGAAAACCCCTTAGAAGTAAGTTCGAAGTGAGAAAACGGCGCTTATTTTTCAGACCGGAAGTGCTCATAACGTCGGGGAGCCGCTTGGGGCTTCCTTTTAGGCGGAATCTACGTCTGTGAGACCGCGGGATAGCCTATGTACCAAATCCCCTTTACCGCGTTGTACTCTGGGGTTTGCAGTCTTCCTAGGTCTCGCCGGCGGTTGCTATGACAGGTCACGGTTGTCTGTGTGGGGAAAGAATTTGCGTTCACGAAATCGCCTTTTCTAGCTGAAGGGAAGCTGGAGAATTACTAGAAATATGAGAACCCCGACAGTTTCATAACTGGGATCTCCATCTGTACATTTTCAATTCCTACCTTGAGTGACCTTCGCATAATTTTCAAAATCAAGTTATCTTTCTCCCACACGCTCCCTACTGCTTTTCACACCCGTCCACATCATCTTTCCAGATGCGACATCTTTCCAGATGTCATACTTATTTTCTCCCACGCTACAACATGAATGCTTTTTATTTTCATACTGCAGCGTCCCGTCACCACCCGCCTGTTTACTGCTCAGCCAATCACTACCATATACAAGCCTCGTTAAAATTCAGTCGTAATCACACTGAAGTGTGCTCCTAATGACAAGGTAAAGATGCAGTCCTAAATACACTGGCTACTCGAGCTGTGTGTGTTTGCTCAAGAGCAAATCCCAATGGATCTTAGTCCCAGGTAAGTGTGCATAGGACTGCAGATTTACTAGGGAGTGAGTCTCATTGAATTCGATGGTGCAGTTATCTGTAAGCATGTTTAGACCATGATGGTATTAGTTGCTGTAGATTTTCCGGGTTGTGTGGCCGTGGTCTTGGCATTGTAGAACCTGACATTTCGCCAGCAGCTGTGACTGGCATTCTCAGAAGTATAACACAGAAAGATGGAGTACTCTCTGTGTCAAGGTGAGAAGAAAAATGGTAGGCAGGTAATTTATATCTACTCAGGAAGGTGGGGTAGGGCTGAGTCATTATCTTCAGGCTGTGACATGCTAATGGATAAACAAAGTAAATAATGTATAAACAAAGTAAATAATTTAAACATGAGCTAAAAATATACATTTTGGTCCTCAGAATCAACTAGTGTTGTAATTATGCTTAGATGACAAGACACAGTATATTTTGGACATGTAACATGCTGGTCTAAGGCTTCTGTACGTATGCTTTCTCCAAGCAGTAGAATGTTCTGTCATATTGAAAAAGCCTTTCCTGTTGAAATTGTGTTTATGTTTATGAATTTCAATGGCTTCCCTGTGTAATTGGAAGTGTTGTCCAGCCTTTCAGTGTCTTGGAACAAAATACTGTGTCCTGTTTGAGTTAGGCTAAGTTTAGCCACTGCTGATTTTTTCAGGTTGGCCAAGTCTGCAGTGTCTTTCGTGTTCTTTTATTCTTGTCTGAATGCTACGCTGTGTGGTCCCGATGTAAACTTGTCCACAACTGCATGGTATACGGTATACTCCTGCAGACGTGAGGGGGTCTCTTCTGTCTTTTGCTGATCGTAGCATCTGTTCCAAAACATTTTGTTCCAAGACACTGAAAAGCTGGATAACACTTCCAATTACCATGTCAGATTACACAGGGAAGCCACTGAAATTCATAATCATAAACACAATTTCAACAGGAAAGAAGAGAGTTTAAAAATAAATAGGACATGGTTTCCTGTCCTGAAAAACACAAAAGGCTCTACATCTGACAGGAAACCTCCTCAGGAAAGCTCCGCCATTCGCTTGTTCATAGCCTGGGGAACTCCTACAAAATAATGACTCAGCCCTACCCCACCTTCCTGAGTAGATATAAATTACCTGCCTACCATTTTTCTTCTCACCTTGACACAGAGAGTACTCCATCTTTCTGTGTTATACCTCTGAGGATGCCAGTCACAGCTACTGGCGAAATGTCAGGTTCTACAATGCCAAGACCACGGCCACACAACCCGGAAAATCTACAGCAACTAATGAATTCCGGCTGTGAAAGCCTTCGACAACATGATGGTATGTTTATTCGTTTTTGTTGTCGTGATTACACGAAATTACAAGTAATATCTGTTATCATACTCTTCAGACAGTAATATGATCTTCTAAATTCCATCATCACATTGTTCTTTACATACTGACACATTTGCTTTGACACATGTCCCAGAGGTTTCATTGGGTATAATGAAGTGTTTAGCAGTATGCTTTGGCCACACTATTGGCATGATCTGAAAGATCCCAAACAAAGCCCAATGGGCAGCTATAGAAAGCTGACACTGAATTAGGACTGCCAGCCTCCAGGTGGGGGCTGAAGTTCTTCCAAAATTACAACTGATCTCCAGCCTATAGAGATTAATTCCCCTGATGAAAATGGCCACTTTGCAGGGTGGAATCTGGCATCACATCCCTGCCTCCCAGGCTCCACCTCAAAATCTCCAGGAATTTCTCAACCTTGAGATGGCAGCACTACAATGAATGCATGTGGAAAATGTGTTAGATGTATGTCCATGTCATGAGTGCTGTCATCTCACAACCGATTTATGGTGACCCCAAGAAGGGTCTTTCAAAGCAAATGAGAAGCAGAGTCTTCCATGGTGGTTCACTATCCAAGTAGCAACCCTGCTTAGCTTCCCAGATCTGACAAGATCAGGTTGTACCGTGCCACCTTCCCTCCCATGTAAAGTGTTTAGATTGACATTATTAAAGAAAGTACAACCCCCAGTCTACGTTTAAGAATAGCATGAGTCTTATGGTTCCTTGCTTTTATCCTGATGTCACTATAAAATAAATTGTGTACATGAAAGAATTTCTGCCCATTATATACATGTTCAGCAAAATCACACAGACAATCACATTTGTCCTTATAAAAAGTCATTTTGATATGTAAAAAATTTGTATGTCAGGGAACAATCCTAATCCTAAACAATCCTGAGAGCCAGTTTGGTGTAGTGGTTAAGTGCGTGGACTCTAATCTGGGAGAACCGGGTTTGATTCCCCACTCCTCCACTTGCACCTGCTGATGTGACCTTGGGTCAGTCACAAGCTCTGGCACAGCTGTCCTTCAAAAAGAGCTTGTGTCAGAGCTCTCTCAGCCCCCCCACCCACCTCACAGGGTGTCTGTTGTGGGGAGGGGAAGGGAAAGGAGTTTGTAAGCCGCTCTGAGACTTCAAGTGAAGGGCGGGGTATAAATCCAATCTCTTCTCCTCCTCCTCCTCTTCTTCTAATCCTGACACGCCCACCCTGACCTAGGCATTCTAGTCTTTGATGTGCCGGGGGCATTTTTTATGTGAAGGAGAAAGTTTGTTCAGCAAGCTGGGACATTTTTTGTGTGACCAGCTTAATGGAGACTCCACAGTTCACCCAAGAAATTGTTGGTGTCTGAAAAGATCCTAATTCTGTACAGGAAAAAATAGTGCAATTGTCATTGAACAGTTTGGTGTAGTGGTTAGGAGTGCAGACTCAAATCTTGGAGAACCAGGTTTGATTCCCCACTCCTCCACATGCATCTTCTGATGTGACCGTGGGTCAGTTACAAGTTCTTTCAGAGCTGTTCTCTCACAGTTCTGGAAAAGTACTGGGTTCAACGCATGGAGGCTGCCGTGACTTCCAGGTGCAAACACACTCACATGCACGCACACACACACACACTTTTCTTGTTTTAAAAAAATGACAAAACTTCACATACTGTAGAGGTGTTGAAAGATCACTTCTCCCTCCCCTGACAGCTGCAGTTCAATAGTTGCTTAATGGTTCATTGACCTTCAATACTAATTCCTGGGTGCTGAACAAGAGTGGATTATGCAGATAATCATGTGTGTGTGGGAGAAATACTTCTGAAACTGCAATCTGCACACCAATCATGCCTGTGGTCCATACAAATCTCTTAGAAACCAGGGCTTAATTTATGAAAAGAGAACCTTATGCTTGTCACTCACACCTTCTGACCTGAATGATTTACCATGGTTACGGATCCATGCAACTTAGTTCTGAAGTGAAGAAGGTTGGGATCTGGGTCAGTACCTCAATGGGAAATTATCTAGATAGCATTTTGAACTGCTTAGAGTATGACAGTAGTAATCTGAAGGTATGAGTTGCCAGATAAACAGCACAGTCTTAAACGCTGATGTAAAGTACTGGGTTCGACGCATGGAGAACTCGGACCATGACAGGCATTCAGACGCGTTTATTGTACTTCACAAGACACACAAAATGGTCCTGCAAGGCCAACTATATACACTCCACCTGGCACACCTCTGTCCCCATTGCAGGGGTTGAATCTCCCGCCAAGGGTGCTATTGGTGGACTCCCAGTGGACTAGGATCCTAGGTCCCCTTTGTGTTTGGGGACCAAGCTCCTGCTATAACAGCTGACCCCTCGTGGCAGTCGGCATACATAACACCCCTCCCCCCTTAGTCTCGATCCAACCTATGTTACATAGTCCTTCAGATAGGTGCGCTCTCGGAGGGAACGCCGGGGTGCTGGCATGAGGTTGCTTATGGCTGCCTCTGGCTGGCTGACCGTTTCTGGTTGCGGCGAGGGCAGCAGCGGTTCTTTGGGTTCTGGCGGTGTGGCCGGGGACTCGACTGGTGGGGGCTCACCTGTGTTGGGGAGTTCGGGTCGAGTGCTGGCTGGCGGCACAAGGAGTCCTGGGTCCTCGAGCTGGGGATGTTCTTCCACCTCCGGGAGCTGTCGCCGCTGAAGTGGGTCAATATGTTTTCTTAGGAGTTGGCTGTCCTCGGTAGAGACCTCATAGGAGACCAAGCCGGTGACTCGGACTACCCGGTCTGCAATCCAGGAGGGCCCTCTCCCAAAGTCCCGGATGAACACGGGGTCGCCTGGAAAAAACCCCCAGAGAGCGTCCCTTTGTTTTGTCAGGTGCCGTGAGTCTGGTGCCTGGTTGGGATGTAGGCGGTCCAACAGGATCATGGGACGCCGGCCCATCAGCAGTTTGGCTGGGCAGCAGCCGGTGACAGGATTGGGTGTCGTCCGCTGAGTCAGTAGGAAGCAGGCGAGCTGGAACTCCCAGTCCCCATCCGTGATCCGGCTGAGGGCTTCCTTTGCTGTGCGAACCATCCTCTCTGCTTGACCGTTGGTCATGAGGTGCAATG